ACTAGTAGACTAGTATAATTAGTCAACTTAATAACCAAATAGTATTAATCCCCACCTTTCCCCCTATAAGGATTTCTATAATATACTAGACCTTCTATTTATCACCCTTTTCATCATACACTTCAATGATATATGTTACTTGATATGATAGGATTATGCCCATGTTTAGGCCTATTCTATAATTCGTATTACCTAGTTTATTTGACCCATTAATAAGTGAGAATTGAGGTTGCCTTAACTAGTTTGATTACATATAATGAAATCAAAATAACCCCTAGGTGATAAGCTAAGCAATATCTTTTCTAAGATAGATAATCAATATGGGAACTAAACTAGGTAAATAATATAACCCATAATGTGTTGTAACTCCCGTGAAATTTTTTTTTTCCTTAACTACATATATATATATAGGAATAGAAATATATACTAAATAAGGGTGTAGTTCATGTAAGATTTTAATATTTTGTGGTGTTAATATATTTGGTGTTTATGTACGTATTTATGGGAATAATTTTGGTAACTTAGTTGATTGAGATTTATTTTCTATCACATATTTAAAATATGTTATGCAAGTGGAAATCATTTAAGTATGATAAGAATGCTAAAATTCTTGGGCCAAAATACCCTAGGAATAATTTCCAATCGCATCACTTATCCTTTAAATGGCAACTTGACACCTAAGCTTCTCCAATCTTCCATTACTTTACACCTCATGTTCTTTGACCAAGAAACCCGCCACCTAAGAAGCCATTGCCTTCCATTACTTTACACCTTACCAACTTAGATTAGGACACTTGTTAAGATTATTTACGAGGGAAGAAAGTTGAATATATATATATATATATATATATATAAGAAAGAGCTATGTATGGTCGGCCACTTTTAGCAAAATTTTAGCTCACTAAAAGAGAGAGGAAAGCCGAATTGGAAGAAGGAAAGAAGAGGGAAAAAGCTAAAAGATTTTCTAGGAAGCTTGAATCAATGTAAGTAGGTTTTATTTTACATCATAAGTTTGAGTTCTAAGTGCTTAATTGATGTGAATGACTTGAGTTGTTGGTTATGTTGTCATGAGTTACTTATGTTAATATTGTGTGCATGATGGTTTGACTTGAATTTATTGGTTTATAGTTGATGAATTATTGGGATGGTTACTCATTTGAGCCTATAAAGCTTTGCTTTATGTCCAAGTATTTGTTGTTGGGTTTGGTTGGTGAATGGATGGGCTTGGACCAAAATTAGTTAGAATGACCCTTTGGTGGATGGATTCCTAGGTTTCCTAAAGGAAACAATACGACCTACTTATCTAAATTAGAAGACTTTGATGCTTTCAAGTGATTGGTGTTTCAGAATTTAATTATAACTTAATTAGGTATGGATTAGGGTGTAGGAATGGAAAACTTTACTTCAATTGGAGGAAAATCCATGCAAACCCTTAGGTTACATTCGGCCTAAACCCTAAATTTTAGGGTTTGAGTTTCACTCATCCAAATATAGAATAGTTGGTTCAATTGGCCTTGGATTAGTATATTTTGGTAAAACCTTAAGAAAATAGGAATTTATGGCTTAAAATTGTAAGAGCTAAATTCGACCATTAGGGTTAAAATTTGGGATAGAAAAGAAATTACACCTTTAGTATGTTTTAAATTTGGTCCTTATGACTAATGTTTAGGTAAGCTAAGTGGTAGGATGAATCTATGATAAGACTTACTAATTATATGAAAGGAAGGTACTTATGTACGAAGTGAAGTTTATGGATTGATTAATAATAATTGGTGGTAATTGATTTCCTTGGGTGAATACTATGTAAGATATATGAAATCCTATGTGTGGATTGGATTTCAAGAATGGTTTGGGAATATAGGTTTTGGTACCCATGACTGGATGTATGTGGTAATTAAAACATCATATGCATCATATGTATTTAGAGGTGGATTGAATTGAGAGAAATCATTGGATTAAGAATTGATGAGGTTTGGCAATCGAATTAGATTAAATAGGTATTAGCAATAAAGCTATATGTGTGATCTATTACTTGATTACACCATTAGGCGATGGATAATCTCGCTGATTGTGTGCTACAACGAGGGATAATATCGTTGTTAGCGGTAGGTGATTTGACAATCACCGAGAGATGAAACTATAGTGGACTTGCTAATACCTAGGGTATCCGAACTAAAATTTATGGATGAATTCAAGGTAGTAAGAAATCATTGCATATCACATGCATCACCCTACTTATTGAGCTTTGACTCATATTGTTGTTGTTTTTCCATGGTATAACGGTAGGGACAAAGATAGTACCGCCGAGGAAGTCGTCAGTTCTCACTAAAAAGGCTCATGTGCTACCCAAAATTTTAGGAATCTTTTGAAAGGTTGTAGATAAGTGAGATTGTTCTCCTCTTTGTGGGTAGACATCATAGATATTTTGTAATCCCTATGACTCGTAATTATTCATACCACGTAAATTTTATCGTACGTACTCCACTCGCTTACTATTTTATTTAATTTCGGTTATATATCATAAGAAACTAGTGGAGATTTTAGGCTTAATAATATAACGAACCTAGCCATGCCTATTTGGAAATAGTAAGTAAGTTAGAGGCGTTACATGTGCTCTCCCTAAAAAGATAGGTATAGACTAATATAAGACAATTACTATGTTTCCCACTTCCTACATTATAAATCCCTTTAAAGATAACCACTATATTTCTATATACCCTAAGTTTTGTAACCATTATAGGGCCTATTTATTGTACCATTATTGACTCTTCTCAAAACAATTACATCAATTATTCCTAGAAACGAAAGGAGAGAATGTGAACGGTAAAAGAATTATGTATTGGAAAAAGATATAAGGGGAATAAACTATTTAATATATTTATTTGACGCTTTGTGAATAAACCTTCAGTGAAGTCTAATGGCACCCTGATATTAATAATCATTGGCCCTATTGGAATATTTATAATCGGTAAAGGTAATAAATAATTTATGTTCCCATTATTTTTCTCTAATTATGTATTTTAATATTAGTGTTATAACATTATTTTATAGGTATATATGATTTATACTCAACATTGTCTCCCTCATGAATAATATTCACCCATATCTTTCCTTCTCTAGTCCCCTACTAATAAGCTGCCTCACATATCAGAGGTAAGCTCTCTTATTGGACTTAATAATACGAAAAGGCATTTTAACCTCACTCTTCATCTCCCTATTTATTAATATCTTGCAAGTTAGTTTTTCCCTCTCTCTCCCTCTCTTTCTGGTTTATATAGATTGACCGAGGGAACTTTTACCTTTACTGATTATTTTAGATTTGGAAATAGAATTGAGGAACAGGGATTGAGGTTATAGAATAACACACTGCCTCTACTAATAGAGTTATTAAATATAGGGTTCTCCTCTCCTATCCCTCTCCCTATCCTTGGTTAGTAACAGAGTATCAACCTTTATGGTAAGCCATTAAACTAAACCCCACTTGAATGTCCAGGTGGTACCTTGGGTGAATGATCAAGGAAGTTGCTACTAATTTGGAAGTCTCTGTATATAGGAATACAATTATATCTATTTTATCTATTGAAGATAGATGATTGATACTCTATATTATTAGGGTCCTTTAAGTATGTGATCATTTTTATAGCATAAATTGGTTATTACTTCTCGTGATAGGGATTATTAGGTAGTTCAACTGTACTTTAATATTATTGTTAACTATTAATAGCCAAAAATATGGTCTTTTCCATGAAATTATGAGGTCAACGTTTATAGACCCCAAATTAGTCATTGGAAAATATACAGTTAGTTTGGGAATAATATTTTTGAATGTAGGTATGAATATAGTGGTCATAAATAAACGGATCAGTTAGTAGAGATAGATGAGTTACTCTCCAAAATGTCTCGTAACATGATTAAACCTAGGATATATCCCCCAATATACTTATTCTCATCAAATACCCAATCTTTTCTACGGATGGCACATATTGTTACCCCCAATATTATAATAAGCCTAATTACATAACCGTGATATTCTAAATTTGACTCTAAAATTAGAGGACATCTGATATTGTGTTAAATCATTACCAAATTAGAAACTAAGAGATATAATGTGAAACAAAAATGGGCATTAGTTGTAATATAAGGAGATAGGCTATCCCTCTAGGAAAGACTATAATATATTCCTATGTATAGTGCACTTCTTCCTCTGTCTTTTATAGTTTTGGAAAGGGTTAAGACCATAATCTCTAGTAAACCTAAGGTTTATTTGTTAATAATCTTTATATTAAGGGAATTATAACCATTTGACAAATCTATTTGATGTGGGTTATACCTCTTATCTGTCAATATCAAATTTAAACCACCTCTTTCCCTCCTTCTCTCCCACTCGCCTAAAGAGATACTTTATGCCCATATTTATTTCTTTATAGTTCGAACCCAGGTATCCTTAATGAGGGGAGATAAACTACTATATCATACAATCTCTTAAAAGGAATAGGACATTATACCTATATTTCAATGGATAATTGTTGAACCTTTTGACAGACTTAGTCAGGTCCATATACTACTCTAAATCATATTATTCAAATACCATTCAATGTAGGTTATTCCAATAACCGTTACTTATTTTAAGATTCTTATACATAATTAGAGACCCAATCAAGCTAATATAGATTTCTGTTAATGGTTGACAATACATAATTAATAATCATAACCCAGGAGACTATGAAATCATTACTCCAAATTCAACCCATTAAATGTTTCCCAAGCATATTCAGATGATAAATATACATTATGGATATTTGAGATTTGAAAGGATATTAGGCACCTTATGTAAAAAAAATAGACGGAATGTAATAAGGGTGATTTAATATTATCCTTATCTATTACCATTATATTAGCCTAGAATAGCGTTACTCATACTATGAAATAATATTTAATCATATTATTCACACAAGAAATCTCCAATAATCATACTCAGGGTAACCTGTCTATTAATCCAGTAAGAAATCGAGAGGAAGACTAGCACCCCTATTCTCCCAGCTCATGGAGATTGGGTAATCGATATTTCTCCTATATTGTCATAGTTGTCTATATATCTTCCTTTCCTAATTAACCCTATATTATTTACGTTTACTTACACTATCGATTCCTTACTCTCTGAATCAGAAAGAGGGATAAGGGGCGTTGTATCCAATTTAATACGTCACCTACTATCACAGCCAATGACAGCAGGGACATGGCTGGTTGGCTCCCTCTACATAGGCTGATTTAACTTTCATTATTATGGACCCATGTATGAACTAAAGGGAGATAACCACTATTGTTATTCAAGGTGACATTTATAGTTATCTATAAAATTGGTGTGAAGTTCCCAAACACCTATTCAGTTACCATAGGATTTATGGAGACATATCTCCATCCTAACAAAGATATTGAAATAGGAAGTGTAGATTTAAAGTTGAGACACAATCTCATGGACATGGGAATATCCCTTATTGATTGGGAGAGGAAGACTAGTAGAGGGAATGGGGTTAGTGCCAATAATGATAGATAAACGAATTATCATCTATCATTAGGTCCATCAAAATTTTGTAGGATCCATATGCCGATCGATCCTAATGAGGATAATCAGTTTCATAGTAATATTAGACCATTATAATGTACACTCCCTCTACTAATAGAGTTATTAAATATAGGGGTCTATTATTTAAACCTCATGTCCTATTCTCTCTAGTTCCTATATAGTTTTCTTCCATAGATATTGTGATACATATCCCATGGAAAAGTTAGATATTTGTCCAAATATAATAGGTTGCAATAGTAATCATCATGATTTATAGACCTTTATAATAAAGACTTAACATCCGTGGAATTGGCCCATTTCCTATCCGTAACTTCATTTACTAGAATGGGGTTAGTGTCGCATATGGTGGTGTAATTAGACCCTAAGTTTACCTATAACGAGGAACGATATGCATATTAATCCTACAATATTTTCAACTTATATAATTTTATCCTTGTACAATAAACTGTATGGTAATGCTTAATACTGGGGAATTATCTAGAGCCATCAAGCTATATGGCACATCTCTTTCCTAGATTTTAACTCAAATTAGACCATTATAGACTGGTAAAGCATCTAGTGAAGGTATTGTTAGTATCCTCTTCAATACCCAAAAGTACACCTAAAAGGTACCAATTAGGCTAATTAGGAATACCAATATCTAAGTCCCTCTATTCCATGAGGAATGGTTAAATCAAAAGTGACTAATATTTTGGTACAGTTTATCAGAAGAGAAGGAATTAATATAGCATAGTAGGCTATCATTTGAAACCATGATTTAGGTTAAAGTGCTCTATTATAATCCATAGTGGAGAGAGGAAATTGATTAGTTAACCTGTTATATTTTAGAAGGAATAAATCAATCCCCATTATCTGCTATTTTTTCGATTATACTGGAGGAACTCGTAACTCAGATGGTCAAAGGTAACAGTTTTGAAATGATATCCGTTTTCATCTATTAGCTTAGTCTGCCACCTCTCCTACTAAAATTCCATGGTATCTATTGAAACGTGGAACGGGTATACCCTAGCATACTATACCCATTTCACTAATAAGTTATTAGCTATATAGATAGTGACTAATTCAGGGTTTATTTAAGGCAATATTTTAAAACTGTTATATGAGAACTATTTCCTAATATAAACTCTCCTGTGTCTTCAGTGCTCTCAAATAATTATCATTAGTATTTTGAGAAATATTTTTTTTATAAAATATTACCTTAAATATTTTGGTATTCCATGTAAAATGTTCATGTGGTTAGGACCTTAGTTTTTTGTTGCGAAGTCACATGGTGTCTCACTTTTTTTATATAGACAGAGAGGAAGTAATCAATTCCCTCTCTTTCCCTCTCCTTCTCTCTCCCACTTTTTCTTTCTCTTCCTCTCTCCTCATACTTTTTAATAATATTTTAATAATTTTAGATCACCTAAAATGGAGAGAGAACTATTTATTCATGTATATGGAAAAATGGTTATCTCTCTATTTTAGGTGATCTAAAATTATTAAAATATTATTAGAAAGTAGGAGGAGAGAGGAAGGAAAAGAGAGAGGGGAAAAGAGAGAGGGAATTGATTACTTCCTCTCTCTCTATATAAGAAAAGTGAGGAACCATGTGACTTCGAAATGAAAAACTAAGGTTCTAACCACTTGAATACTTTAAATGGGATATTTAAGGCAATATTTTAATAAAAAAAATATTTCTCATAATACTATAATATATTTTAATATACATTTACCTATGTATTATACCTATAGATATAATACCAAATATATATTAATTAAATATTAATATTTAAGAACAATCTGTTAGTGCCTCTCCGCTAACATACCCCTTTATAAATAATTTGTTTATACTCTCCTGAATAAGTTAGATGGTAGTAAGATCTATAGTCAAGCAAATTCAATGCCAAGGAAGAGAGAGAGAGAGAGAGAGATGCGGGGAGAGCGGGATAGGTATAGAGGGAGAGGAAGGAGGAGAGAAGAAGGCAAAGAGAGAGTGGGAGAAAGAGAGGGGGAGAGAGAGAGGGAATTGATTACTTCCTCTCTCTCTATATAAAAAGTCTCAAAATTACTAATGCTATAAATAGGATTATTGAATTAATTTGAGAACCCCATCCAAAGTTATTTCATATAACTCTATATTGATTATCTAACATAATAAATACTTGGCCTCACTTCGTTATCCTTTCTTTGTTATATCTATGGTAAACACCTTGATTGATTGATTTGGGTGATGGGGTGAATATTCTATCAATAAAGTACATTTTCCCCTCTATGTTCATACATATGTCTTCTACAAAATAATAGAACCAAGGTCTAACTTAAATGAAATAGCTAATCAAGTATGCTTTAATTTGGTAACTATGATTACTTACCCCTATCTCTATCCCCTCATGTTTTGTTAATTAATCACCCTCTTTATTCATAAAGGGAATAATTTCCTTCTTATATACAAATCCTTATGGAGAATAGAGGTGTAGATAAATTATTGAAAGACAGAGGTCGAGGGAATGGTATATTCCATATCGGATAATCTTTAAATATAGATAGAGAAGGATGGTATCATACTCACCAAACGAGAAGAGGGAATGGATATAATAGTGACTTTTATAAGAATTATTGTTGAAGGATACATTGATCTATTTACATAGGACCATCGATGTAAATATCCCCTTATTCACATCCTTACTATTGTAGATCACATCGACTAGTGGTATTTGAAGGTTATATGAGACTTAATCGAGATGGTTGGGTAAGAGAGAGATGTACCCAAGGGCTCATTATTACCCCCATATGAGGAGAAAGGGACCATTATGGTCCCTATGAAAGAGAGAAGGGAAAACTTAGGGGGTTTTAGGGATAGAGAGAGGAAAAGAGAGGGATAAAGAGAGACATAAAGGGGAAAGGAGTGAGAGAGTGAGAGAGGAAGAGGGAGAGAGATAGAGAGTGAGGGGAGAGAGGGATAAAGAGAGAAATATGCCAAGAGACAATACCCAAAGTTATCACCTAGGGGTGATATTAACTAGATTATCCTATAGGGTTATTAAACCCCTACTCAATAAAACCATTAACTCCTTATGATAGAAGTTAATAAATATGTCTCCCTCACATTCCTTATGTTTAAGCTCCAAAGAGACAGGGGTTATTCAAGAAAAAAACGAGCCCAATCTATTATTATCCAATAGCATATGTCCACTAATAACAATGGAAAACGTTTAAATATAATATCATAATTAATTCCTTTATAACCTTAATCATATTCTTGGATAATAATAGATTTTAATGGCCTATCTACTAAAAGACTCCCTCTCTCCCTACCTCCTTAACCGAAAATCATTGTTATATACATTTGATAGAAAAGTCAAGTAGTATTTGATATTATCTATTATTAGCATTGTTACTTCCATCCTATAATTCACCTCCTTTAATGAACAGATTTTGTACCCATTTTCTAATCAAGTAAAAAAGTAAGAAAGATGTTAGAAATTACGGGATGGGTGATGGTCTTTAATAATAGATAATTAAGAGGGAGGGAGAGAGGGCGAGGAGAGAGATGATTCCCTCTTAGTTGAAGATCCTCCTCATGATGGGTAGATTATGCTTGCAATTAATAGAGAATCTTAATAAGAGATAGGTCTTACTTAGGACAAAGGATGGTAAGCATAGCCTAGTCTTAGTATAAATATAATCATGTTCCACTTTATAAATGATCTCTCTCTCTCTCCCCCTTTCCCTTTATCTACCCAAAATATCAAGTAATAATGGATTTATACTAAGACTAGTTTAACATATCATTCTCTAAGAGCTAGGTTACAGTGAAAGACTCCATTGATGGTATAGAGCTAATAGGTTGATTATTTAACTAGGGAGATATTTATTCATAGCTCGGATTGAAACATTACCTTTAATGGCACTAATGGGATATACTTAGTGCTATAAAAGCCTATAGTTAGGGCCCTCCAACGATCACAATGGAACAAATTCTATATGATATTATAGCATAACTATATAAATATTGCTCCCCATCATATTGACCAATATATATCCTAATGGCTAATGGACAAACTTTTATTTTCCCATACCCTTGGTCAACCTTTGTTAATCACTTGTTAATCCAGTTCCCCCTAAGCCTTTGTAATGGAAAGGAAGCCTCTTATGGACTTAAGGGAGGCCCTTTGATATATATATAATAATATCATAAAAGGTTGTTATCCTTCTATCGAGCTTGGTTATGAATTAAACTATTTAATTCTACTTGAGTATTTCCCTCTCGTGAGCTACCCTCCAATATTTGGTTCCAATGTGAACGAGGGCATGGGAAACTTATGCTTGAGAGGACGGTGATATCCCTCTAACAATTTAAAACGATTTGGTCTAGGGTATTTGAAACATGTCCGTTCCCTATTATGGTTAATCGAGAGAGGGGAATATCTTTTAATTTATAAATGGGCCTCTTTATCTTACGAGTAGGGAGAGGAAACCCTATTTAACTACTACTCTACTTTCATAGTTGCTCATAATCGTATGACTATGGATAGAGACTAATGCAATTTTAATGATAATGACCCAATTCCTAAAATTTTATTAGCGAATGCGAGGGAGTAAAGAGAAGCCTGGACCATTGAGGAACACCATCCGTTTTGATTAGCTAACATAAGATTAATAATATAATCTTTAACTAAGCTTACTGGAGGAGTGAAAAAGCTCAAGGCTAAAAAAAATCAAACGATGTAGTTTGCTTTCATTATAACAATAAATAGATCCTCAATGGTCCAAGCTTCTCTTTACCATGTTTAGGCTCTCTCTCTCTCTAGTAGTTGAGACCTAGACTATTCTCATTGAATGTAAATTTGGGAATTTGGAAAGCCTCTCACTTAGCATAAATAGCTCGTATACCATGTTGGGATTATCCCTAACGCTTGTACCATGTCAGGTCCTTTAATAATAGAAAGGATAGGGATCCAACAAGGGAGTATATGGTTTAACCATTGAGAGTTTACGTATTGCCAAATTTTGTATTAATGAAAAGATCATTGATACAAATTCCTTATATTGTCTTTATTGACTACAAAGTAATTTGTAGTTAATAAATCATGTGATGGTGATCCTCCACATCTATGGCTATTTGGAATTTACAACATCTTATTTAAAATATCAAGAAAGGATTTTGTACCCAATATTATCTACTTTTACTCCAGTTTGTGTATATTGATATTTTTTCCGTAATAAGACGTTGTGAAAAAATGTTGTATTCATTCCCTCTCCCTATCCTTTTTTGGGTAAATATTTCACTAATAGGAGAAGGGAGATGCAATGAGGTTGTGCTAGATAATTATGTGTTGGTACATCTTTCGGCTTAGGATGCTAGGTCTCAACTAGAAGTAAAATCTCTCAGCTACTACTTTGTTTATTAAATATTGGTATTAAGATATAATATATTTTTAGAGTAGTATATAAAAGGGAGGAGGAGAGAGGAAGCATATCTTAATATGGGCCTAGATTATCATATATACTAATAATATTTCTAATAAATATAGGTGAGTTAATCACCCTTTAGTATCTAGGTGAGAATAAGGAGTTGTAGACAGAATAGTCTATCTTATTTGCCTCCATCTCTATTTAAGACATGTTAGGAATTGAGAGAATATTATCCCAAATATATTAAGTCAGGATTATAGAGATGCATAGCGTTTAAGCTCCTTTTTACAATTATGTTGGTTGAAATATCAGTATTATTTTGGTTATACCCTTTTACATGATATATAGGGATAATCTCTAAATATTAAGTGTCACTATTTTGTTCAAATTAGTTAGGTACCATCTCACTCTGTCCTAATCGTTAGAGTGAAAGACTGGTCCAACCGTTTTACTCTTTTGTATTAATTTAATTTTGCTAGTTCGTCCTCCCAATATTGATCAATAAGGATGAAGAAGAAAGTAATTTTTAGTATTTGAAAAATACTATGTAAAAGAAGATAGGAAAACGCTCATGATATTGGAGGTCATTAACCACTCCCTCTCTATCTATGGCAAAGCCTAGGGGAACCCAATTACCTCCACCATCTCATATTTTAATAGGCAATTAAAGTCTTCCGCATCTCCCACTCTCCTATCTTATTAATATTAATTTTTATTTGGGGCCTAAAATGGAGAGGGATTGGTTTATGACCTCCAATATCATGAGCGTTTTCCTAGCCCTTCCAAAATGACCATCGGAGGTGGTATGACCAATGAAGAAAATCTTTGTTGATAATTTGTAGTAAACGTGGCCCATCTATCAAATTTGAAGGTTAATCTATTTGGAGAGTTACAAATCATGGAGTTTAAACATTCTAAACAGGTAATATCCTTCCATAAAAATATTTTTCATGCTTTTAATTAAACCTATTGACCTAAAACTATTTTGGCTCAATTAATTAATTGAGCAAGGAGTATCAATGATAGACAAGGAATAATATTTATATAATCATATATTATTATATTAGAGAGCTTCCATATAGTTTGTTCCCCCACTTATTTTTAGCGCCATCTCAGACTTAGAAATTTAAAGGTTAACCCGCGGACCCAACCTAGCTTGATATGACCTAATAGCATTTATACATTGTAATTGGGTAGTTATCATACCAATATGTTTCAATGATTATCTCCCTCTCTCTCCCATAATGTTTAGCTGTGGTCCCCACATAAGTATAATTTTGGTATAATGTTCTCATTTAGACCGAGACCCATGGAATGGGCTAAGGGATAACTCACGTATAATATAACAAATTAATGGTCCTTTTTTAATAACTCCTAGAATATAGTATAATTGGATTAATATGATGGATTAATAACCATCATATTATGGGTCCAGATATACCCCTTTATCTTGGAAGGGACCTTATAGGATTAAAATAACCAATTAATTAAGAAGGGCTTATAGTTGGTCATATATTTCCCTTTATCTAGCATCTCTAATTGTTAATCGTATTTAGTTACTAAACATGAGAGAGAGTCTACTATCTTTAGGATTGAATTCCCCAAAGATATGTCTACGTGAGTTACCCCTAGCCATTCCTCCTATCTTAGTTACTATATTACCCACAATGTCATCCATTCATAGAGCTGATAAAGGGACTAATACTTGCCTTTCTTATCATAAATACCATTCATAATGTGAGCCCTCATAATATTTGGTAGCACATTCTATCATTGAGTTAAATAAATTGTTAATATTAATTAAGATTATATGTGAGCACATTATAGACTAAGAGTCCAATAGTTCCCATACCATGACTCTTTAGAATGTAAACATAAAAAGGGTCATTAATTACTTGCAAAAGAACTCCTTGAAAGATAGAGTAGTGACATATAGCATGTATCGGAAAACTATCACTCATTTTGCTTAATAGAGTTTATAATTTAACATGGTCATCGAATGGAAGCCATCTATAAAATGGCTTTTATAATTAAATGCTAGATGACACTGGAATAAGTCCTTTTAGACCTTTTGCTTTGGATTTCAATTTTTATCATTACTTTCATTAATCATCAATCTCATAACATTAAAAGATGGTATTTAACCACTTACAAATGAGGAAAACATAACCATGACCAAATTAATGGTTTACCATAGCACAAGCCTATGGATTATTGGTTATAATCATAAAACTAGGTGATAGTCCACATGCCTATATTACATGGAGTTTTATTCTCCAAGAATTAAACCTTTTTCAATGCCCTCCCAAGACGCATATCAAAACCCCTATCATGAGCTCGACCCTCATATCGTAGTTACCTCCCAATACTAACGATTATGGGATATTTTTAATCAACTATAAGTTTTCTAATGAATGGAGTAGCCCATCTAATGAGTTGGAGAGGATAATTAATAGAGAGGGAATGAGAACCATTCACATGTTAAGTTCCTAAAATAATCTTTATACTCATTATATATTCTAGTTAAAAAGGTTGTTAAGAAATTATTAGTACTAAATCCCATAAGGCAAGAGAATATATCCCATACTTTTATACAAGGTATGATGATAGCTCTCCCATACGAGTAGATATTCCTAAACTTATTATGCATCTCCTATTGCTAGTAGGATATGGAGGGAGAGTTTTTTTATTGCACTTAAACTTTTAATCCCCACTAGCCTCTTTATAGCAAAAGGGATATAGATAATAGTTACTAAAACTAGGATTAGCTAACTTGATATGCACATAAGGAGAGGCACGATCTTTGTCAAATTATAACCTTATATGAACATGAATATTAAGGGTACAAGGAGAAAGAGACCTAAATTATTGTTTACACAATTTCATTCTCTAGGCCCTCTATCTTAACCATATCGGGGATCCCCCTATTCATAATGTTGGAACATATAGTTTACCTAAATTTACATGTCCTCAATTAATCCTTAGGATATAAACTTCTCTTAGGTTGGTAATCCTACCTAAAATAAAGGGAGAGGAAGAGTTCATTAGAGGAAACTATGTTTAGGATTTCACCGATAGAGAGAGAGGGAATTCGATTAAAAACCCTTTTCTTGGACCTAGCCAAATATTCATGAGTAAGGTGAAAGATAGTTACACGAGTCTAATAGATGTAAGGA